CTCGTTTGCCTTAGACTTCATCCAAACATGTTTTTACCTAAAAAGACTCTAAAGACATAGAAAAGACTCGAAAAACCTTCGAAAACATTGGTTAGAATGTGTCAAAAACGCAATACATCAACTAAGCTAAAATTTATGGATTTATTCTGAATATGGTTGGTCTGGGTTGCTTGTTTGAAATATATATATATATGTATGTCCATATCTCCAGAATGTGGGCATACCTGGGAAGAAATATATGACATGGGATGGGAGTTTGAGAGAGCATGAGCAATTTCTTAGGGAAGTGAGCATGTGTGGTCTAGTTTTAGGTTCTGTTTTTTCTTCGACTTATTGTCGAGTAAGTCTACAAGGGAAGTGCTCCAAATTATGAAAGCTAAATAGAAGGAATGGATGAGTTGGGAGGTGGATTTGGATCTCTGCAACATGTAGTGAAAGCAGAAGAAGCCTATAAAAAATCATTGCTTCAGGCAACATGGGACAAATGCAGGATAAAAGAGTTGGAAGATTCAATTACACCTTGTTACAAGAAATAAGATCCAATGTTCCTGGAAAAAATCGTCGTCTTGACTAGGATTCTTCATCTTGTATCTGGTTTTTCCTTCTTCCTCTTCACTTGTTCTCTCCGCTCCGTATTTTCCTCCTCAAGACGCCGTGCTGGTATTGAAGCTCTCATTATATCCGTAATAGTTGAGAGATGGATGGCTTATTATCTCCTAAATACCAAGGGAAGATAAAGAATGGCTTAGTAATCAAGACATGTTTCATATATACAATGTGAAGTGAAAAGAGGCTGTGTATTTACTTGGATTGAAGCGGTCGATGCTAGACAGTCGGTTTGGATGTTAGGTGAAGGTCACATGCTTTCTTCTGGTAAATCCATGAGCCTTTTAAGCTTAGGCAACACTTGCTTTCCTAAATTAGGCCTGTCTTGCCGCCTTAACTCTGCACACTGTAAACTGATTTTTGCTAATAGTAAGGCCTCTTCAAGCGGCCACTCCGGAACAACAGGGCCTAGCATCTCAGCAAAACGAGTATATGTGATTTGGTTCCAAGCATACCCGTTTTCTGGTATTCTGGATCAATGTAACACAAGGTTCCAGCAGCTGACGTCATTCTATACTGTGTTTCGGTGTCAGAACCTGAAGGAGGGATAAGCCTAGCCAACCCGACATGAATGCTCTTGCTGACCATGTGCTGGTCAAGTAATATGTTGGCTGGTTTCATGTGACGGTGCACCAGTGGCTCTGGTTTCATCTGGTGGAGGAAATTAAGACCAATCGCAACTTCAGCTGCAATGCGGAATCTTAGCTGCCATGGGAGCACGGGGGAGTTGCCTCGTCTGATGCGACGATCTTCTAAGCTACCGTTGGCCATGTATTCATAGACTAAACACCCGTACTTTGCACAGGCTCCTAGCAGGAGGACCATATTTGGATGTCTAATGCAGGTTAGCACTTCCACTTCTTTCTGGAACTGCGATCTTCCTTGTGCTGCATCCGGTCTTACGACTCTTATCGCTACTGGTGTGTAATATAGAGTACCCTACTAAAAACAGGTCCATAACCTCCTTCTCCAATCTTGTATCTGAGAAATCTAATTTATGTTCCTTCTCTGATTTCCATTTGTGTAATTCACTAGTCTGAAAAGACACAGATTCAAGTCATACTTATAACTAATATCTTTAAGCGAAAATTATAGAAATAATTATTTACTGTTTTCTTGGCTGCGAAATGCTTCTTTGCAGGCACTGCTATACATGTCCATTGTATACTTGAGCTCCATTTTCAGCTTTCTCATCTCAGCTTCTACCTCATCTTGTAAGATTTTACAGAGTAACTAATGATTAAGCCTAATTAAGGAGGTTGATAAAGCAGAAGAAATACTTTTCTTTACCTGGCTATGTAGTGACCAGTTTCCTGAGAGCTTGACGAGAAGGCAGAATATGAAGAACCAAAGTCTATGGACTGCTTTTATGATGAGCATGAGGATGTCGGCTTTCGTCAAACTCAGAACTAACCGAAAGACAAGGCGTTGGGAACATCCAATCCACCCTTGGCCTATCACTACTCATAAACGATATGTCGGAGTTTGCCACTGAGCCCTTAATCTCAATCTCGTCATGTGGTCTTTGACGTATTGTTGCTCTGGGAATGGAGTTGTTGCTCGCTGATAACTCTGGACGTATTGTGCAGCTTAGAAGAGGTGAAGAGGTAGCCCATTTAACGGACGATATTTTACCTCTAGAGATTGCATAAACTGTACAGAAACTGGGTGCTCCTTTCATCACTGTGCTCGTAACATCTGCAGCTTTGAACCTTCTATTGAAACACATCACAACGCATATAAGAATCTTTTCTTTTTCTGTGTGTTGGCAATCTAATTAGCAGGAAGAGTCATCTTGGATGCACCGAGTACTAGAACATTGAGTGCGTTCTCTTGCACGTAGTCTATGATTCCTATATCAGCATCAACGTCCTCCAATATCACATTTTCACAATTTAATGCTAACCGATAAAATGAACCTACGCTATTTATATTGAATGTATTTTCTGCGATAATACAAACTTAAGGAAACCAATGAAGTGAGGTGCAAAACTCACGTCTTTTCTGGTGCAGAAGCACCGGAATGGATGAAACAAATCCTTGACATTGTCATCTCTAGACTAACTGGGGTTGGCTGCTACATCAACAACATTGAATCAACATAATGATGTTTTAGTGAAGGTAGTTTGAAATAAGTTGATTTATGGCAAGAGTTTGTTTGAGTCTGACATGAACAAGAGTAAGAGTCTCTCCTGGGGTGAGAAGACTATCAACAGCCCATTTCAATGCTGCCTGGCATGAACATGTAACTGTAGCATTCACACTTTGCATTTTATATCTAGTTTTCAAACCAACAAGAATAAAATTACTATACATAGCAAGTGGTATCGGCGAAAAAAGAGCTTGTACTAAATGAAAATGAGCAGACATTCCTATGGAAATTTGGAAGCAAGTCCTTCAAGTCATTGGGAGAAACCATCAAGCATCCTTAAGATCCATGATGGCGGAAGTAGGGAACCGTTTGAGGGTGTTGGTTGCAAGATTGAACACACATATGTTGAGGTTAGAAGGCTTCCGGAGACCGGCACGGTTGTGACGGGTGAAATAGATGGAGTTTGGTTTGATACTAAGGCTATGGTTAGCAGGCATAGTGATACCCAAGTCGAGAAACAGGGCCTCATCACCAACAGAATCTACCTCAAGAAGCGGGGGGTAGTAACCACCATTTGATTGTAGACTAGGATCATTCTTGTAGATGTGGAAGCTCATCTCGGTTTCAGTGGTTATGCTCTCGACCAACAAAACCTCTCCTGCTGTTGTAACCACCATACTGGAATTGGCTAGATATCCATTACGAGGAGATAACATTCTGAATGGATTACTTCAAGTGACATCCACGAAACCTTTCTGTCCAGACAAATCTATGACTCGAACGAAATGACGGGTTGTTAAGATGTACAGACTGTAACCCCGTAGAACCACATCAGATAATCAGGTAGCAGCTTGGGGACTCCGAGACGCAGCGGAATGTCAGTGTAATAAGCATCCCCTTTCTTGCAAAAGCTTAAGTAAGTGGCAGGTGTGTCGAAGAACCACACTACAACGTACTCTCCTGTCTTGGCGTCTACCCACAAAAGACCCCTCTGAACATTGGCTCTCAGAATGAAATTGGAGACACGACCAGTTTCTTCCCTTTTAAATTCCTCATCTCCCACATGTTTGATACTACTAGTACTCGATAAGAGCGACTCTAGAGGCGGAAGATCGATTCTATTCTCACGAAACGCATCGATTCTATACTCAATGTACAAATTGGATCGAGAATCTAGCACCAGGAACCACTTACCCGAGTTTGCCAGGAATCGAGTCCCGGAAAAGTCTATCAGAGAATTGTAAACCTTGTCCTCGTTCGGATTGGATTGTAGAGCATACGAGCATCTTCTCCGTATGGAAACAGTATCAGCCATGGAGATTCGTTTTTCGGGTTACTGCAAGTTTGCAACCCGAATTCCAGTTCCGACACACAATCTTAGCTTGATGGAAATCCGCAAGGCTCAGTCGTGAGAAAATAAATCCCACCAAATCAGGAGGGATTTCTGACCAGGTGCCACGATTACGAGTCCGAGTCTCCATGCTTGTGATAGATGGGGGAGATGATATTTGAATGATTAATTCTTTTTTATACTTTTTTCTTGTGTATTGTTTTCGCTTTTCGGTTACAATTGTAGAATGCAAATAAGCGATAATAAAGTTTATGGCCCACAAGGCCCATCTACCTCTAACATGGATCGTATCAGTCTCCTAGGTGTGAGCTTGGCTGTTCTTCTTCACGACATGGCCGGTTTATATGTGAGAACCAAACATCATTTGGATAACATGCG